GGCCAGACCAAAATATGGCACAAGCCATGAAGTCACTGACAAGTGGACTGAGTCATGTTGATAGGTGTAGACTACCTGGTTGGGGACCGCGAGATGATAGCAACCGATGGTTAGAGACCCTGAATGACATGGCTCAAAATCGTTTGAGATGGCGCAGGTGCATCCACTCTTTGTGTTCTCCCAAATTTTGATCTCCTTATTCCTCCTTGTCTCTTTTTTTCTCTTCCCAAATTTATTTCACTGTATTATACTCTTTAAATAACATCTCCAAACACTAATTCTCCCGATTACTGCTTATACTCTTATTACCTCTACCACTACGGGATTTGAGTCGACCATTGCATCTCTGTGCTAATGTGATCTTGTTAGGCGCCAGTTGAAAGGTAAATGATTGGAAAGTACAGATTTCGTTGGTTAGTGAGATTAAGACCTAACTGGAAAGCTTACTTCTCGCTCCATAGTATCACTAATCCCCAAATGCCCTGGTACGGCGGAGCGTGGGGAGAGTCGGCTCTCCCTCTCTAAGTGCTCTCACATGGCCATGTGCATACAACCACTGCCAGGCAAGTCCTACTCACTGACTTCTCTTGGCATTAAAGTTGTTTCCGAAATCGAGAGTACGAAAAGAAAATGTCCGGTGCTCTAACCGGGTTGGTGGACACGGAGAGTCCACCTAGAGGAGTTGGAAAACCCTGATTTCAAACCAATCGTGCATATGGGCTCTAGGAAATGGCGTTTGGACCTATTGTTGGTCACTGGTTACCATAGGACTGCATCACCTTACGTTGCCTCACTACCTTGTGAATCAGACCTTCAGGTCAAATGCTTCAGGTGTGGCCCCCTAAGAAAACCACCTGCTTCGGTTTGAGTACCCAGGCAGTATCTCAGCCCTCACACAATTCACATGAGATTTGTGTGGCGCATATTTATGTGGTGCCCCCTTGTATCAATATCTCTGTGTTCAAATAAATAAATAACGACATAATGTAGAATTTTTCTGTTGCGAGATTGGTAAAACAGTGGTGCTTCTGATTTTCTTTATTTTTTCAGTTTTCGTTGAAATCATATTTTAGTTAGATTAAAATCACACTATTAACATAAAATCTAAGATATTCCTGGTATACCCCCAGATTTTAAATAGGAATTAATATTTGAATTCACTTCCCCCCTTCTCTACGGACTGAACATTCATCACATTTAAATTATAACAGTTTAAGCACCCAGAATTCCTTTTTTGTTTTGTCAATGAGCATTACGAGTTTGTTTGATATGTGACTTTTGTAGGCTGATCGCATAAAGATACCGTCAAGTCTATCAAATGATGGCAAACCGCAGATTTATATTTGAAAATGCTTTTGCAAATCCAGACTGTGATCCGCCTATCAGAACCTTTGCTGACTCTGTTGTATCATTGCTTCGTAGATTTTTGGCCCGTCCTTATCGTTTTTATCCTGTGAACAAATATTATCTTACAAGTCATGGAAAAAAACATCCTTATAGAATGGGCCTTTGCTTTCTATATTGCTTTTTAGTTAATAATAGCAAAATTTGCTTGTTACTTCAGGTTATAAAAATTAACATGATTTGTAATTATCCATATCTGTTAGCACTTCAACTATCATTCTTGTTCTCTTACGCGATTGAACATTCGTGGGGAGTCACATTGTCTTTGTCCTTTTTTGTAACCTTAACGAATACACATTTGTGCCTTGTTTTAAAGTTTTGCAACTGGCTGCCGGGTTTCACAATTATGATGATTATTTTCCTTCCCTCCAGTTCATGGTTGGATACTCAATACATTAGCGTTATAAACATATGTAGAATTTTTTCGCTCCTTGTTTACGCCGAAATTCTAGATCTGCTTTTAGTAATGTTGATTCATGAGAAAGAATTGGATTGTATGATCGAGAAGTCAGCAAGCAAACTATTTTTCACTAATGAACCACTTAGTTTTAATTTTAATCTGTTTTTTGTTGTTTTTTTAATTACAATCAACAATGTCTGGTAACCCTTGTTGTTAGATATTAGTGTATATGTAGATTAAACCAATGTGTACCTCAACATTTATCACTCTGACACTTGATTTCACAATAAAAGTTTCCATAGTTGGGCACGCTAACTTTCATTCATTCTTAATGAGTTTCAGCAGTCCAGATATGCTACCTTTTAATGAAGTTTTGAAACCAATCGACGTTTTAGGTACGTTGTGAGTCTTAAATTAATACTGGTCTTAATAATTTTACAAACTTGTGTGTTTTTATGGTTGTTAACTAGTTTTCTAATATTTTCTGGTTGATAATGTGTACTCATCAATTACCTGTTTGGTATAGTGTACAGGATGAAACTTTATTATTTTTATTTATAGGTGTACCCGAACTGTTGTTAGTTACCGTGAATCAAACGATGAAACAACAGATAATTCTGAACACAATCTTTCGGAAATTCCTGTTACGAGTAAAAGTAAAGTTCGTAGAGTGTTAGATGATGAAGAGGAAGAAAAAGAAGAGGATGCTGATCGGTCTCCTACTCCAATATCTGCCAGTCTAAAAGTAAAACGCTCCCAGTCTAATCGCACAGTTTTAAAGTATTCTTCTGATAGTGATTATCAACCGTGTGAAGATGATGATGATGATCAAGAAGGGGACAGTCAGGGTGATAGTGATTCTTTAACGACGGACGGAAAAATTCCACCAACAAATATCTCTATAAAATCAAAAGGTATTATTGAATCACAATCAGATGAATCAAATCACCAACATTCAACTTCAGAATTAATCATCTCCGAAACAAGTGATATCGATAATTCACTTTTCAAAGATAATGTGAAATCGGTTTCTGTAGAAGCAGGTGGCTGTAAAGTTGAATCTACAGACAATATTATGGTAAACTCATTTGATACATCTAAAAATCATGTAAATGGAAATAATTACGAAAATGATGAAGAAGTAGAAGATGAGGCTGATGAATGTCTACCAGTTCGTACTTTACCACATGTTTCTCCTCAATTTGATAAGCAAATTATTGAAAACAAACCTTGTGTTTCTCCGGATATTTTTTAAAGTTTAAACTTATTTATAATTATGTTCTTTGTTGTATGCTTATGACTAATGTTACTTTTGTATATTTTCCATTTCGATTGACATTCAGGGAGATTTTTGTAGTGCTCAGTAGGTGTTTTAAAAGTCGCCTAGTAATAAACTAATAATAACTAAAGTTCAGTGTAATTTTTTTTGGTGTCCTACAATAATCTATACTCATTATCTTATTGTACATAGTTGAATCCTGTCGATTTATTTGTTATGATGTGTTGTTCATTCGTTTATTTTTAATGTTTAGTTGCCTTCTCGGCAGTATGATAATTTTTCATGATAATGGAAAGCATTTAACTACGTTTAAACACTATCAACGGATGCAAAAAATAATGTTCTTTTAATGAGTAAATGATTTGATTTTTCTTTTTGTGAGATTGTTATGTAACTGCTTTTTTCTCTTCGTAAAATTTCACAAAAGATTCCCCATATTACTTACTTTTCCTTGTAAACTTTTGTAATTCGATGATATCGTGTCTTATCATCGTAAAGTAGGTAGTTACAAAAAATAATTAAGGGCAGAGTTTTCGTGCCAGATGTATAAATTTATCTTTTTGGGAACAATTTCAAATTGTTGTCAGATACTACAACATAGACTAACTTCTCCTGGATTGATTTCGCAATTATATATGTTGACTCGACGTTATGAGAATAGACTTTTTCATTGTAAAACCCCAGTTTACTACTTTTCCAAATTACTAACAACACAAAATCGCGTATGAACACATCGTTTATCGTATCGAGTTACGCGGTACAGTTATAGGCGGTGACTATCGAGCGCTGGATCCTTATTTGAATCATTTGGCCACTAATCAGTAGGACTGGATCGTTGAGTTTCAGACAATTAGTATTTTATGTTCTCATAAATTGATTGTCGTTAAGGATAGATGATGTCACTAACTTATACTGTATCATAGTCCGTTGATATTGGTGTACGTACAATGAGCAATGTTGACAACTATTCTGACTCAATGTTTTGGACATTTATTCGCGACAGTTCAGAGCTGTGACCCCGTATAATATGCACTGCTAAGGAGACTTGCACAAGCAAGTAACATCCTCTCAGCGGTTTTGGTACTCCCGCCGTCAATTTTATAGAAACTGACCCCTAACTAGCATGTAGTTTGTGCACTTGGAATGTTTTGCTTTAATGAAATAATCAGTAGTACATTTTGGTGATTCGCGGTAAGCATTACATGCAAGCTTAAGACACGATATGTGAGTTGTCAGAATAACACATCTTTAGTCAGTGACCAGAGAAAATCTAGTTAACGTGAATCTGTTCGATTTTGTCAGGCTGTAGTCGGTTGCATATTATTCAAACAAAACGCCGCCATGTAGAATTTATAATTTTGAGAAATTGCAATCAAGACACGATAAATTAGAATAGATAATACCAGTTTCATGCGTATATCATAGGAGTGTGAAGACCTAACAAATTATTTGTATGAAGAAATGAAAGTTGTAGATGCGTTACCAGAAAAATACCGGAGGTCGCCGCAGCAAATATTGTGTATGTAGAGTCCGTTTCCTCTGATGGCACATTGTATGTTCTACACTCAGCTATCGAAAGCGGAATAACTTCACGCATTACATTAAATCCTAACTTTACTGTTTGAATAACGATTGTTCGGGTTTATATTCATAGAGAATATTGAATTCTTTCTTCCACCACGTGCTACTCTCATTCATTTTTTACTGTGCTCTCACTCCTTGCTGTCTGCTCAACACGACTTATCCACGTAGGACATACTTTAGTGCCTGGCTCAACAATTCAACGTATTGAATTAAATGAAACGTAGATCCTCCGAGATAATCATTTGGCCTCTGATCTATTTATATGTATAATCGTCGTGGTTCAATCACACTGAGAAATAGTGAGAACTTTTGAAGTAAAACGTCTCGGTAATAGGTAGGTACTACACAGAAATTTATTGCAACAGATTTAAAGCTGTCTGAAGACTAACATTAAGTCAATATCAAATAACATAATGAGCTGCTTATCCAGGATAAACTGTCTTCTCCAGTCCAAAAAAAACAAACTAATGATAATTAAAGCATCATACAATGTAAGAAGTTTTAGTAACTAGTACCTGTAGATCGTATATATAAAATTAAGGACTATATGATTATCCTCCTCCGTGTTAAGTGAAATCTCAAATTTATCGATAGCAGCTAAGTTGTAACTAGTGTCATCAAAAATATTACTTTCTGACATAACATCACAAGTCTAACAGATCTAACACCATAAACGTATGAGGTGTACTGTGTTATAACAGTAAGAGAATTAAATAACTTGTCCTATCATTTACGTACTTATAGGGATAGAATAAATGTGTGGATGTCAAATGCTATGAGCGTTTCATGGTGAATAATAATCAAGTGTTACATGTAGTTATTTGTCTAATCAGCTCCCAATAAAAAGTAAGTAATCGTCAGTTCATACTGACGACAACCAAAGGCAAACCTGCACCTATATTAAATCATTAGACCATAAAACTATGGCCCTGGTAAATGGTAGAATAAAGAAGCAATGAGGGAACACTGATTGGTTTCCTAAAATTAACAATATAAACATGTTGTAAACAATGGAATCAATATCAGCAATACTGATAACATTGCTTTAGCATGAAAAATGCTGACATATAAAGTTAGCTAAAGTAACAATCTCCCTAAATTTTATATATCAATTTATAGAAGTCATTCACTCAATCATATAAGATAAAAAATGAATGCCAAATGTACACAGATTGATTACATGAAAAATAAGTTATTTAAATGAGTAGGTAAGTCAGAGCGTCATCATAAAATCAATGAAGTTTTCTGCTTATTGTGAAAGAAATAATAGATAAACAAGCAATAAAATGTTCAACAAAAGCATCATATGAGTACCCATGCATTCAACATGAACGAATTAATTCGATCTCAAATTGTTCAATTTTATTTTAAAATTAATGAAAAAGCAACAAAAAACCTGTGGACTGACAGAAAAAACAGACTTGAACTGAGCGAGAGTTGATAAATGAAAATCACATTTAGGAAGAAAAGCAGTACAATCGAAATGTGAACAGTATTTTCGAAAAAAAAATCCTTAGAAGCTAAAGCCGAGGTGAACAGTTTATTTTAAAAATACAGTTATGTTTGTTTATATTACAGCTTTAAATTATAATAAACACGAGGGATAACCTTAGAGGAAAATAATGACAAATTATGAACTTATGCGTATAAACAACTCGCAACAATTAAAATGTCTTGTCGATATATATGACTCAAATTTCACATATAAAACTTTAATGACAAAGAAAATGAACAAGACAATATCTGTTGATAACAATTTTGTTAAAGAAAGATAAAAATCAAGATACTTTTCCTTAACAAATTAAATACAAGGACGCCAATCTGATGCACTTATTAAACCGGGTACAACTGTCTGACGTCGGATACCCCAAAATTTTCGTGGACGTAATTGATCATTTAACGCTTTGAATAACCAACCCATATGCTGGTAACAGCTATTACAATTGGCTATTGTCCAAGAATAACTAAAATAGTGAAAGTATTGAAGAGCACGTAGTTACACAAGGTGGATAAGAAATTAAAAGGCGTTGTTAGAAAAAATTATGTACAGAAGTTTGGTTAGACAGATTATGATTATCAAAACCAACACAAATCTTTCACCAGTATGCTGACCACGAATAGAGAGAGGGGAACTGAAGTCTAATATACGAAATCTTTTGATCTGGCTACCCAGTAATGGCGACTGTCCTTAATAGTTTACTACTGCTCATGTGATACAGTATGTAGTACATGGTCATCTACAATTCTATAGAATGGAATATCTGTTATTTGACCTATCGAATCTTGAATTATTTTTCGAGTGATAATATTTTATACACATAATGTTTTGCAACGCAAAAGCTTACATGGAAGAGTTATTCTGTTTAAAAATACTAACTACAACAATGAGAAAATGAGATAATCTCTCACAATAATAAGAACCAATGAAATGAATCAACAATTCGTTTTATTTTGATGATTATGCACATTCGTGCCAATGGTTCATTTAATGGAGCCAAATCACAAAATAAATTAATTCATAATTTTGATATCTTTGGTATGGTCTATTTAACCAGTATATACATTATACACTATGGGCGAAAGACATGAACATTTATGAATCGAGAAGGCTCTCTTTACAGTGAACACAGGTGGATGGTAGCTAGGAGTGGAATCCGAGATGCGCCTTTTGACCTGTTCGGAACTCGTCAGTCGGATGTACCTGCATCCCAGGACTGATGTTCACTCCAGTAGTCGAACCCAGTACCGTCCGATATCGCGTTATCCACCAAGCTACTGAGTTCAGATAGTCACTGGCTTGTCCGCTTTTTCTTATAGTGCTTGTGACTCAGTGGCAATATAGAGGCAATCTGCACAGAATGCACGTATTTCGAAATAATTTATGATGTTTGTCTTTCAATTGATTTTGCCGGGTCATTTAAGTAACAAAACTCCAAAATATTTGTTGATTTATACGAATATTCGTCAAGATTAGAACGAATAGTTTTACAGAAATTGGGCACCGAGTATATAGAAGTCATCATATGTGAAAATGATATTTAAATTGCAATCTCTGAGATTATTTCAAATATCATTTTCACATATAATGAGTTGTTATTTTTGTTCTACAAATCTTGATACGGCCTAAATGTTTGAAGAGATGAGTTTGGGATGAATTATTTGTTCGTTTGAGTTGTTAAATTGTCTATAATAAGTGGTTTTCATGGGAGACTAATTACCACTTCTAAAGACTAATGAAAAACAAACTTAGATAGAGTGACAGCACACAACGTCTGTACTAACTCATAATGATAGAACATTGGAAACAATTAATAATTTAATATATTGAAGTACGCATAAGGGGCCTGGTAAAGGTTTGAGGAAGATCTATCTCCATTATATTAGAAGATTATAGGCGTTCCGATTGAAAAAGACAAACCATAAGTCAAAACAGAATGGTTGAAAAATCCCAATGGTGAAAGTGTTGTACAACGTCTACATTTTGGGGGGTAATCCTTTTTAAAACGTCCCGCAAGAATCACAGTAATCAAATTTTCGGTAATACAAGACTTATTGCATCTTTACATTATAAAATATTTGGTAGATATATTCAGAAAAACAGCTTATTAACATACCCAGGGAACCAGGAATATTCAGCTGAGGCCTCACCGATAAGATTAACAGAATTTGGTGTGACTTGACTCACAGTTACAATATCGTGTAAAATGCCAGACGGATTAATATACGTCTGTGAACTTCCTTCTTGAGCAAGGCATATAATATATTGGTTTGAAGTGATATTTGCATCACATGATGAACAAACACAGGCTGTCGACTAAAGAAAATTCATAGTGTTTTTAGAAAACAGAAACTTAAGATTGATTTTTAAGAGGAAAATGGGTATTATCAGTAAATTAACATAAAAACTTAGGGGGAAATATGATAATAATGTTTTACGCAATTCAACAATAGTACTTAATATTTTGAAGCAGCCTATGAATGGGAATCATTAAAATAGTATATATAAGGGTGTATGTAACTACAATGACGTCGGTAAGCTGGCACAAAATGGGAATGTACTGGTGATCTTTAATGAACAAAAAACAATTGCAGTTTATCGTTCGTATTGTTTATATACTGATAAGAGACAGCAAAACGAAACAACAGTAAATAAATTATGCATGAAAAACTAGTAAACCTAGCTTTCAACGAGTTCGGAGCGAAGCAGAATTTGCTGGATTTTTAATAATAGATATAAAGAAATAGTACCGGCAAATGTGTACACACCCACCATCGACTACTAGAAACAACCATATGATATCTAATAAAGAGTATTCTCAGAATGAGGATTTGTGATCGTAGTGATTTTAACAGTTGAATTCATGAGTCGATTTTCAAAATTACTACGATTTCAACAGATCCGCATTCTGATAATAATCATGAGCTCACTAGTGACTAGCTTTAAGATCGATTTCCTGAAGTTCTAGTGAGAAGCATTGACCAATGGAGTTTGGTCCGTGTCGAGTGAGACAGTTATCCATCTCGGACAATGGATGAAGGGTTGCGCAAGATCATGGGTCGACTGATGTTAGACATTAACATCACTGGATTCCGGCTCAGTGGTCTGGAGGTTAAGAATACGCACGTGAACCGAGGGTCCTGGGTTCGAGTCCCACATGTAGGGTTGTGGATGCCAACTGCTGTGGAGTCCCACACTAGAACGAGACGGCCGCTCAGTGTTTCCAGGTTTTGAATGATGGTCTAGCTTAGATCAGCACATGAATCCAACCGTTAAAAACATTCTATCATGCGGATTTAGTTGAAAGGTATTATGAGACCTTTATATAAGTGCTATATGGGTCCATCATCTATCAGTGACAAGAACTGAGCGTTAAAAGAGATATTGGGCTTCCATCAGTCATTATATTATGAAAAAGCTTTTGGATAGCGTCCTCCCTGAAAACAGATATACTTTCAAAAACTCAAAACGACCAAATAACTAACTTCGAACTGATCACAAACCACCTCCTATATGTATGAGCCTAAATGCTCTGGCACGGCGGAAAGTGAGAATAATCCGCTCTTACTCTCGAAATGCTCTTATATGGCTAGGTGTATATAGCCACTTCTCCAGAAGTCCTACAAACTGCCTTCTCGTGGTGGGCATGTTTACAAAATTCAGAGGAAGAAAAGCGAAGTCCGGTAATTAAACCGGGTTGGTAAGTAGAGAGGATCTACCTAGAGGAATATGGAAACTTTGATTCCAAATCAATGGCGTATGAACATATTCTTGGTCACTCAGGTAGTATTCAAGCTCACAAAAACCCAATTATTTGTGTGACGCATGTATATTTTCGTTCCCCTTCGTAACAAAGTTTATGTTCAAATATATGTATACATATACTCACACGGCGTATAACTTCTAGCAAAGCCCGTAAACGTTGTACAACATGATCGATACCCAATATATGAGATTTCAACGAACCAGACATCGGAAGATTTTGTATTAGCCAGTAAGAAAAAGGGACGGCTAATTCAGGATTCCATTTATCAACTTGCCAAGTATCATTCCAATTATAAAGTTCCGCTTGAATGGCTGCAACTAAATAATTCTACAACCAATTAAATATAACAGCATTCCGATTTAGAAGATGTACAATAAATTAGCAAACAAGTGGGCTGATTAAACTCACTTCCAAAATACAGCTGGCTTCGTTATGTATAGAATAAGGGAGTATCACTTGAAAATTCGTTTTGGACAAGTTATCAATGAGTGGCTGAGATTACTATTAGTCACGTAAGCGATTTCGACCATATCAGTAAGTCACTAAAGCCTTTTTGTACCAAAGATTAAAAAACCACAAATGCGATACCGCTAATAGCAGACTAAACTTTGGTTTTTTTAGCTCGTTTAACACCCTTTTCTATTATGCCATATTTTTACAGAATAATCTGAACGTTTTTTCTGAATTTGGAACATGCTATGGTATCAATCTTCCTCTAGAACTATCAGTCTTATTCAAATAAGATGATCATATCTAGTGACATTTTACTCTTAATAAAACACCATGTATAGTGTATTCCTAAAAACTAGCAGATATTTTACCAAATATTACTAGTATATTATGAAAATGAGTTGCAAAGACTAGTCCAAAATATTTATCCACAAAGCAAGATAAAGTATTTGATCCAACAGACTATCGGTTTCAGTCAGGTTATAAATATGGAAAAATAAAACTTTTTAACAACAGCTCCTAAATATCCACACTTGATACCGAACTGTTTATAAGCTTGTTCACCTATTTGAAACGGAGGCACTAGTAGTTAGTCACATAAAAATGTAACTGTTATTAAGAGGTAACTGGAACCAATTTTGGTAGATCTATAAACAAAAATTCAGGGCTACGTACAGGAGCGAGTGAACTTTAGTCACTAAAGCCTTTTTGGAATCTAGGCACGTATTAAAACTAAAAAATAACTAGTGATAATGAATAAAGATGAAAAACAGAAAAGATTGTGGGCCAAATTAATGTTAGTTTTACACAAATGAATCGAGAATCCACATATATTAATGCAATACGTAAACATGAAAGTCATATAACTTTTAAATGTTTTTGAGGTAATATTTATATTCCCAGGAAAGTGAACAAGAATATTGTACCTAAGGGTCATACAGTGAAGCCGTGGATACGAAATAAAGCTAATGTAAACAAAACAATAGCTTATATGTATAGCATCATCATATATTCACAACTACACGATATATACTGTTTAATCGATTCACCAACTTCTCAACACTTCACACATAATGATGATTTCTAAACTGGTACATAAAACGATAGCATTGACGTAGTAGGATAATGATATATTGCTTTTAGGTTAAAATTGAATGCGATCTGAGAGGAATTATTCATTAAAGATACGAATCTTAAATTTTAACGTTCCTGATGCACCTGTTATTGATTACATACACAAATAAAACTAGATCTGTAAATGAATTGGCTATTCTCACGGAATCGCTGGCAGATCATATAAGTAAAAGGCTTAAAATTTACAGATCTAAGTAAAATGAAGTAAGTTTCATGAATACCAACATAAACTATTGTTTTACGTGCACCTTTGATATCAATATTACTGTCAAATGAGATCCTCACAAACAAATTATTTGAACATTTATTTGATTTTTGTAGTTATGAAACTGATGAAATACTATGAAGAAATCAATTTAAAGACATGAAAATCAGAAAGATGATAACTGAAACCTACCAAATCATACTGTCGATAAACCCAATACGGTAGAGAAGCGTAAGCTTGCGCAACTGCGGCTAAAACATCACGACGAGCCAAGAGACGAGGATCACAAAGCTGTTTGATACGATAATGAAAGGGTCTGCCAACTCGATCAACAGCACGATCCACAATTAATTCAATGTCTTCTGAAAGTGAGGAAGATCTAGCTAGTTTATTTCCTGATTTTACAACCTGCTTTTTGTTATAACTGGATGATGCACAATTTACCTCCGTATCGCCTTCATTGTCAAACTTATCAGGATCACATTTCGATTTTTTTGAGTTGTCTTCCTGGTCTGAACCATCGTCAACAAAATGATCAAGTCGAGCTCCTGCGGAGCTACATGACGGATATATATTTCCAAAGCTGATGGGTCCTGCAGTTCTCCAGGTACTCAACCGGGAATCGAAAATAGAAAAGGCATTACCTGCTGGTGGGACACAAAAGTTTACTGTGAGAGAATGTGATGGGGGAGAACTGGGTAGACTATTGTGAGAGGGACGAGTGTTTGAATACCTAAAAATAATAATTGCAAGGAAGTTGTCTTAACAATGAAGATCCTCCGCAACAGATCATAACTGACACTTTAAAAAATGACTTTTTGAAAATACAATGAAATTTAGTTATCATTCAACAAAGTACTATGCTAAACATACTTTGTAGACACTGCACTGGCTGAAACTTGGTTTAATGAGTTGAAATTCTGAGAACTTGGACGTGCTGGTAGTGGGTCGCGACCGAAACGAGCCAATGATCGAGGAATCAATCCCCAACCCAAAGGGTGACTGGCCATTTCACGATCAAAAGATGCTTCTGGTAAAATTGTACCATGACAAACAAGAGGGCTATAATTAAGAAAGCGAAGTGAAACAGAGAATATGAAGGAAGACGTGGGAATTTACAAATGTATCGTTCAGAAGCTTACAAGAACAATAACTAAGATTGAAACGGCCAAGTGAGGAAAACTATCATTCTGAAAGCAGTCCATAAGAAAAAAATTACATTATTCTATTGTAGGATATTCAATTATTACTACCTTAGGAGGTTTTACTGCTCATACTACCAATCCTTATAAAACTGAATGGATAGGAAAACATGACAAAAGATTTTATGACTCTAAGTTTCTTATTTCTGAATGAGAACTAAACGCTCGTGATGATATTAATTGAAAGGTTCATTAAGTCAACTTGTATATTTATTCTTCAAAATATGAGTAGTAAAGTGTATTTGAGGTGACGAGCAAGATATAACCCTGACAGACAAGCCTTAGCTGTATTTATGCGTAAGTGGCTTACGAAGTTCACGTCATAAAAACTGCTTGTTCTAAACAACCTATAATGATTATTCTTGCGTCCAGTGTTTTGTATATAAGCGTGTCGACTTACCAGGAAAAATTTCATCTCAATTTTAAATTAATATCAGTTTATTTTAGGAAGCTAGGACAGTAATTCAATGTTATGAGTAATTATCGATCAAGTACAAAGTATTATGGAGGATTTCATTATTTCAACAAATAAAAACATGCGTCAAAATACTTGTACTCTAAAAATGTGACTTTTTTAAAAGTCACATTTGACATTTAAAACCCATTTCATACCATATCTACAATTTAACGCAAAGATATTGAGTCCTGATGGGGACAGGGGATAAAATAGATAGATTTTTAATGAAATTAAACATGGGGCAGCTGCGAAGACTAATCAAAAGAATTGAGACTAAAATGTCAGCGGCCAACGTAAATATACCGGAAAAAGACTGTATTTTCTACTTTTAGACCTGGCGACTGGGTGAAGCAGTGAGTAATAGTTAAAGCAACCTCTAGCTACTCTCCAATCAAAGTTGCGCAACATCTCCACTTTATCTTTTATATATAATCTCATGGAGATAACTATTTTCTCTTGTTAATTTCATCCAGTTCTGATGATATGACAGCAGGAGAATTGATAAATACGTATACAAATAGTCGAATGTTGTTAATGAACATTGGTCGATCGTGGAATACTAATCGTAAGGTGGGTGCGAAGAAAGTTCTTTTGATAGTCACAAATTTTTCTCAAGATGTCCGCATATTTTTTACCTTTAAAATCGACGTCGGAGCATAGTTTGAATTGTATTTGTCAACAAATTTCTGTTGATACCCACTCTCGATAGCCATTTTCCATAAGAAGTCTACTTTATTATGTCGTTTTGGGACTGTGAGTTCTTCGTATCCATGTAGCAAGCTACCTTACGATTAGTATTTTACAGTCGACCAATGTTCAGTTGCAATTTATAGGACAAACTCTGATGTTTGACCACTTATATAGACATTAATCAATCCACCTGCTCACGTGGGCTACCTCTACGTGTCGTTCGGTGCGCGGTCTATACGAGAGAATTCAACAACACAACCCAACTTGGCTGAAAAGATGCAGAATCGGTTTGGTACGAAGTTCCAAAATCGGACACCATGTGGACACATGTCATTCGACTAAAATACATATAGTTTATTCATCTACAATGTAAACAGAAAGCTGTCAAAGACAGTGAATCATCGTCTTTTCAACATTGCCGAACCTTTCACGATACATCTGGAAAACCCAGAACTATATATACACGATAAACTATGGCCTTAATCTTAAAGTTTTTACAACTCATCACTTTCCCTCCTGTCTTCTCAGCTAACCTTTTACCCCCCCCCAATCGACTCATTTTGTTACCATGCTTTTTCCGATCATAGAAGTCATCATAGCTTCGACATTTCATCTTACCACAAAATGCCATTTATTCTTCTTACTCAAGCTTATAGGAACTGCACCGTCAATTTACTATTAAGTATAACATTTATGTGTTTTAGTTTATTTCGCTCGGTTACTATATTTAACGAATCTATCACTGCTATAATGAGTAGTTGTTATTATCGTAATTAACTCATTACCGATTATCCTTCTGTAAAGTATATAGTTGCGGTTGTGCAGCTTTAAAAACGAATTCTTTGAGAAGAGAACTCTTCTCAATGAGTATTTTCGTTTATTGAAATAAATCTGGACTGCATGGAATTATTATATCAGTGTTAACGAAGAATATAGTTATGCTACGATCAAATAAAAAATTGGTATGAAGTCGATAATTTATGTGAAAAAATTACTATAAAGAGTCACGCGTTGCTTTAGTGATACGAATCCGTTGTCTGCCAATAAACATAGCACGAATAGGAGCATTTTCGTTTGAATCAGGAATACAGATGGCAACTAAGTCAGCCGTAGTACCAACACAACCAATAAAATCCCCCAAGCTCACATGATCTTGACTAAAATTCAACAAACAGGAAAGCAAGATGAAAGCCAATGTTAAAGACAAGTATTTAAAGGTTGAAAATATCACAATGAGACATTCCCGAATTAGCTATAAGAAATTCTATAGGAAGAGTAAATAGAGTTCCCCATAATTATTTGTCTGAAAAGAGATTAGGACAGATTTCAAGAAAATTTATGATAGACAATCCGGATGTAAAGAGGATAGCTCAACTGGTGAGATGTGCGACCCTTGGTAATTTCATAAATTATGAAACCATTCCTTAAGAGTTGGAAACGACAGTCTTTGGGATTAGTTAGAACAGTTCTCCTTAATTATTAAGTGCACCTATTGTTCCCAACTCTGTATCACAGACTGACCTAAAGATTACGTAATATTTACGTAAGGATTAGAAAATTGTAAATTTACGGACTTAGGCTTATTGTCGTACATGCAATCTGGAAAAGACCGGATTGTAAGAGACCTTAAGGTAGAGTTCGACTCCGTTGATCATGAAGTTTTGTGGCAATGTTTTTCATTGAAAGGTGAGACATGGCCATTAGAAAAGAGGATATTCGTAGGTTACTGGTATTCGATTGTGTGTCTTCGAAGCATTGCTCGTTTATTTCAGGTCCAGGAAGCAAGTAATGCCTGAGTTAGGAACATGATGCTAGGTAAGGATGACAAATTGACTGACGATGTAGTAAATCTTCATCGACTGAGATGGTTGGGAAATGTCACGTATGCCCAACTACCATCAACCTTAACGACCGGTTTCCTGATGGAGTAGAACGGGAAAAGCCAATAAGCAGTCAAATAAAAACAGGGGACACATAGACCACTGGACTTAGCCATGTTAATAGGTGTGAACTGCCTGGCTGGGGTCCGCACGATAATCGTAACCAATGGTTAGTGACTTTAAATGACATGGCTCAAAATCGTTTGCAATGACACAGATGAATCCATTTTTGTTTTACCCCAAATCGTGAGATTCTAAATTTTCCAGGACGTATTTTGTCTTTCCTTCACTAAATTATATTTTCTTGTCGAACTGTATCCTCGATGCCTGATCTTCCTATTCCCACTAATACTGTTACTACCTTCACTATTCCGGGATTTCCTGCTTCAGTTTGGGCACCCGGACAGTATTCCGGCCCTCATACAAATTATTCGACTTATGTGGCGCATATCTGTTTGGTGCCTCCTTGTACCAATGTTTATGTGCTTAAATAAATAAACTCCAGGTTTCGGCCTGACGATTTCATCTCGGTGTGCTAAGGGGTAGGGCAACATGAACAGATGTACATACGCATCAGGTTCTACGTTGTGAATGACTGACTGAAATTGTAAGGACTACAGAAGCCCATTGATCATAACTGTGACACAACGAATTGGTAAGAGAATTCACACATTTTTTGTCAAGTGACTTAAACCAATATTTTTCCACTTTGAATGGAATGGTAAGTGAAGCCAGTTTACTTACACAAATTCGTTAAGCGCAATACTTTTCGACTGCCAAAACGGAAGATGAATTTAGCTCATAGCAGATCATTATCACAACCCAACAGAGGATTTCAAATTACTTCAGGTCCAGTACATATTCGAGTTATCAGCAAATGACCTCGGTACGAATCATTTAAGCATTCCTGAGCCAAAAACCGTGATCTCTAGGTAATCCTGGAGATGGTGGTAATTATCGGGAATCGCTAGTAATTTATAGTTACAAAAGACAGTTGTCAAACGAACATCCTGTCCTGATATATATAAATTAGTCATATATTTCTCTGAAGTGATCGCTTCAGGGTTGAACCTTAGACATAAACAGCCTAGATAGATATGCGAATAGATAACTGCAATACGCACACTTTAAAACTAGGAAATCATTTGTAGAGATGACTGGGCAAGTCTGCCTGGGTCCATCACTTTGCAGTCGTTTGAGTACAACAGCACTCATTTTGCACCTATCATAGCTAGCGGTTTAGGGGTAAATGAACAGCAAAAAAGTTACACAAATATTTTCTATTCAAAAATAAAATAATTTTAGTTCTTGTGAATTAAAAACAAGTAGCAAATGTGTGAAATACAATGCTCACTAGGAAAACGTAGAACAATGACAACTCACTACCCAGGAAGAAATATCAAGGGCTTTCTCTCCTTATTAATTTTTTGGAGAAGATCTGATTCCAATGGATCATAAGGTATCAGTGGAAGAGAATGTCCGGGCACCAACACAACATCCTTGCGATAAAATGCATACATATGAGTCTCACTCCCAGGCTCCAAAAACGTTCTCCCGCCTACATCTATAAAATCTGTTCCAAGATACTAAAAACTACTTAGATAGAAGTTAAATTACTTGATGCAAACCAGGAAGAGTCCTATCAAAGTTTATATCGGAAGCGCAAATCTCCTCTCCTGAAGGTGGAGGTGACCCCACAAAGGCAATTTGAAGTTCTTCCATCTTTTCAATGATTAAAGTTCACGGTGCAATCTTTTCCAATATCCATTCTCCAAGACACTTGGGACGGACAGAAACGACAGCATAAGCAGTTACCAGTTGAATATTCGCGCCAGATCTCTATTCGCATTTGATTAGTCCATTAATATAGGTATTCTAGTTCAGATTTAGATTCAGATTAGTGTAGTAAGGACAGAAGGATTACGGCTTATTTTAGTCCTTTTCTATTATGCTCCTGTGAGTGTCCAGTCTTTTGTTGAAAGAGTCAATTGAAGATGCGGTCACCACTGCTTCAAATGGTTCAAATGGTTGTGGACGGAATAGAAGAAGCTTTCGCTTTACAGGCTTCCGTGTCTAGTAGCAGGGGATCACCAAATCCTCCAGGCAGGAACCTAGGTATGTTAACAATAAAAGAGGAAAAGAAATTGGTAAATCATAGTGTGATGCTGTCCTTGGTCCTTAAAAATAGGTCAAGTTGCCTCTTCAAGGACTCCTGAGAAGTCGCTTAGACTAGCTCGGCCGGCAGCGAATTCCAGCATTTGACAACTCTTAAAGAGTAAAAGTTATGTCTACATTCCGTTTTGCTATGTTGTGTCTCCAGTTTCTTGGTGTTACCTCTTAGGTTAGTGTTGAAACTAAGCTTAAGTAGGTGTTTAAGAGGATGTCCAGAAGTGTTAAGGATACTGTAAGCCATTAGAAGGTCACCTCTAAGACGTCTATGTTTCCGTACTCTAAATGTGGACGGATAAAACTATTGGAGATTATATGGAAAGTTCTTCCGTCAAACCGGCCAAAAATGCGCTTCAATGATACCAGTGCAAGGTTTGCTCGGAAGGCATTTTTGTCACAGTTAGCGTAAGACTTTAAATCGTAGGGCACCGGGACTCCTAAATCTTTTTCGACTTGGGATACTACTAGAGAGGAGTTTCCTGAGTTACAACTGCAGTCTGCAACATGTCTCAGATGGACTACTTTACACTTTGAAGTATTAAAGGTAAGCCGGTTATCGTCTGCCCAACTTCGAAGCCGAGTCAGACCCTTCTCAAGTACCTGTATATCGTCTTGGTTGCGTATCTCTCTCTCCAAAGTTTCACGTCGTCGGCAAAAAGTAACAAGTCTGACGTTACCTGTTGAGGATGATCATTTATGTATATCAAGGAGAGAAGAGGTCCTAGTACTGAGCCCTAAGGGAACCCACTAGGACATTCCATAGCCTGAGATAAAGTGAAATTAACCCTGACCTTAAAATGTCGACCGTTCAGGTATGAAGTGAGCCAATCGATTAGAGGTGGTCTGATACCCAATCGTTTGAGCTTATTGATAAGACGTGTATGGTTAACCTTATCAAAATCTTTTGAGAAATCTAGGTAGATGATATCAACCTTCCCCTTGTGATCAAGGGTGCTTGTCCATCTGTAAACCGCAGTCAGCAGGTTGGTAATACAAGCGTAACCCTTCCTGAAACCATGCTGTTGGGGTGAGAAGAAATTTAAGCACAGTAAACAGGCATTTATACCATCGCATATCAGGGACTCCATGATTTTTGAAGGTATTGAGAGGAGAGCCACCTGTCGGTAACTTGAAGGTTCGTTGCGTCGACCTCCTTTGAAAATTGGTGTGATGTGAGCCAGCCTCCAATTCTCCGGTAGTTTTCCTCGACTTGGCGAGTGTGAGAACATCACGCTAAGCGGCGTAGCCAGGGTTGAGGCTGCTTCCCTCAGTATGGCGGAATGGACCATGTCCGGGACAGGAGAAATGTCTAGTCTTAAGTGCTGCAGTTTACGGAACACCAAGTCAGCGCTTAGGTTCACTTCGGAAAGTCTTGTGGAATTGCAGATGAAACTGTCATCAGTAAAGTTGATGTCGGTCGTTTGAAATGTCTGGGAGTAATGTTCAGCCAGAAGGTGAGCGGCGTCGCCATCGTTGTTGGTCGGGCCGTTAAGACATACCAGTTGGGAAACTCCAGTTTTGGCTTGACGAAGAGAGGCTGCATAACGGAATAAGCTTTTAGGGTTAGAGGAAAATTTGTCCATAAGCTTTGTCTGGTACTGAAGTCTATTTTCTTTTATAGCCTTCGTGCATATGTTCCTGATATGTTTATATTGCCTGTACGCTCCGTCGTTGTCAGTTCGTCTATATTCTGCCCAACAGTGCCTTTTGCGGCTTAGCAGACGAAGAGTGCGGTTCTTGATGGTTGTAGGTTGCTTGTAGCTATTGGAGAACGTTTGAAGAACTGACTGCTCTGTAGCACATAAGAGCGTGTGCAGTAAGAATTACCAATAAGCATCCACATCAAGTTGAGGGTGAACTTTCCAGTCCATCTGTTGTAGATAGTCCTGTAGAACTGACACATTCAACAGTTTGAAATTCCAGCGCCTGTTGTTGGTGGGATATCTTAGCTCAGTTTTACTGATAAAACTAAAGGCTATGACGGCGTGATCGCTTTTCCCCAGGGGAGCCAGGATTGAGAGGATTTCAACTAGAAATTCTTCGTTTGTAAGTACCCATTCTCAGCGCGACGGCGTCTGACTGTTTCTACAATCAGTTGCTGACTCCACATTTTCGAATGATCCTAAATCCTCAATGAGGTTGGAGAACCGAGCTTCAGTTGAGTTTTTACTTCCAATATACGTAGGTTCCGCAAAATTGACTCTAGGTAGATTGAAGTCCCCTAGAATCAGGATATGAGTGAATCCGAAAGGCGTAGAGCGGGATTGTCCTTCCAGCATACGACTGTCATACTCGATGTTGGCAGTGAGCTTCGTCAATATTACTCCGACTAGGCACCTCTAAGTAGTAGACAATCTTACAGCGCACCATATGGATTCCTCAAAATTGTTAAACTCGAGGTTATGAACTTGGTGAATCTCCAAGCAAGGTAGTATGTATACGACTAATCCACCTCCAATTCCTGATTTTCTTGCGTTGCGAAACAAAGAAATCCCAGGTAATGCTAACTCCTGCTCCCAGAACTGAGAAGATATCCAAGATTCAGATATTCATATCAAATGAACCTTATTAGCGTTGTTAAGTTCACGTAGCTCGCGGCGTTCACGTATAAGCAGTTTATGCTTTCAATTGAAAACTCGTGGGCTTCCTCCTGTTTGCCTGTATGAGCCTTACGTGAATGGACAGGAAGCCCACCTGTATAAGGTTTACCGAGTTGGTAGGCCCTGTCCTTTACACATTTTTTTAATCATCAAGACAGTCCATAAGTGGAATGATCAGCTCCAACTTGCCTTTGTGCTTGGTCCTGGCTTCATATCGCCTGTCCGGGTGATTGTGGATTCCAGTTGGCAACCGACGTCTGTTGGCACGAAATGCTTCCAGATTTGCAGCCGCCATATGGGAAGATGGGAAAGTTATCTTCATTAGACGGGGTCTAGAATCACCATACTTCTTGGCTAGTCTCGTCACATGCTGAGTCAGTATGTGTTTGAGCCTCAAGGACTGTTTGATGAAGTTCCATTCCCTGATATCAGTTTTTGATTGAGTAGGGTCCGTATTTTCCGGTATACCTTGCACGATTATATTCCTCCCGCGGAAAAACTGATCGCGAGATTCTTTGGGGATGTTCCGGATGAGATTGTGCTCAGAATACGGTATGTCAGGCAGTAATCTTACATTCCCATCTGATTTCAGTAAATGACTCGATAGTAAGACATCCTCTACATCGGTAGCATTTTTGTGTTACACGAAGTAGCCTCGGGTGATTTTGATGTTTAGATTCCTTTCCCCGAGTGAGCCATGTGACTGTCAAAGGCTCTATTCTTGGAAGTTCAAGTTTCTTGTTCAATTATACCCAGAGCATCCTATCATTTTTGTCCTGCAAACTGAGAGGAAGGTCACGGTTGCCTTTGAAGTTCATGACTATGAGAGAGTCATCACGAACCGTTATTGTCGTCCCAGGTTTTCCGGTGCGTTCAGGTTTAGCACCTTGTTGTTTGGAGGTTGAAGCACGTTTATGAATCCTTGGCTCTTTGATGACCGTACGGACATTCTTGCGGGTAGACCGTGCGAATAGATCACCAGTTGACTTCCGTTCAACAGCTGGGATTTTCAACTTAGACTGTGACGTCTGGTCCTTTTTAGCTCTTTTAACATGGGTCCAATCACCTACAGGGTATTTGGGAACCACCGTCGCGTTCAAGGACCTTGAGCTTCGAGACGCGAGTTTGCTGAGGGAGTCGAGTACCGTCGTCGTAATCATGGTGCTGAGTTTCAGTGTGTCATCATTATTGTTGTTGCATGCTCCGTCGTTGGTAGACCTATCGACATCCCTGTTCTCGTATTCAATGCGCTCTCTTGTTTGTCTACCCATTTTTTGGCTGTCTTTTCCCAAGTTTGCCGACGACTTGCTCTGCAGACCTGTCAGTAGGACAATTATATTACTCAGCAAGACCACAGCATCCACGCTGTATGTAACACATTCCCACTTATGACCCGACTTGCTGAGTCTGTTGTAAGCAGTTGCTGTGAGATCTGTGCACGCTTCGTGGAACCAACCTTTGCAGTTGTCACACTGCATGCCAGATGTAACAGCAAAACGACATCCAGGTCGTTTGCATGACTTTTTCATGACTGTATTGACGTAAGCCGTGTTGTAGATGCTAGCAAAAGCTTACGACTGTAAAAAATACACTAAAATCACACTAAAAACGGGCAAAAATGGATAAAAACGGATGATATAAACTGAACTAGTTTCTACGTGAAAAACTGAAGAAAACCGAAAAGTAAGCTAAGGCAAAACCACAGTTAACTATTAAGTTGGGTGAAACTCGGAAAAAAGTAATCTACCGAACGTATAGCTCAGGATAGATTCTTTTGGTCAGAAATGATACTTTTGTTGCGTAAGAACACAGCAAAAGTTTGATGAATGCAAATCACGTTAGGACTAAACTTCTCGTTCGAAAAGCTTCGGGCAGCAGGTTCCAAGTATTGATAACTCGGTGTGAAAACCTGTATGCCACGATTATTTTGTTCGTTCTTCGCTTTTCTACTCACCTGCTATGTCCTCTGAGATGTTCCCATCTAGTGGGAAGAAAAGGAGAGAATAAGTTAGGTCCAAAATCATTTCTTAGTATTCTGTACATTAAAATAAGATCTCCACTTAGTATTCGATAGGACA